CGATGGCAAATCCAAGTGCGGCGTTTGGTACTATCAAATGTCCGATCTCTGTAGCCAGAGGAATCTGTCGGAAATAATTGCTTCCATGTGAAAGTTGTGAAATGAAAAATTTTTCAAAATTAGTTAGAATTGAAAGTTGACAAACTATATGCGTAGGCTGGCTAGCTAACAATGACTAATCATCGACAACTAAATGATCTTATAGAGTAAAAAATATTTTATTCCGGACTTTGCTTATCGGAGTAACGCAAAAAACGGACGTCTAATACACGTCCCACATGGAATTCTCGTTTATCCCATTTTGACGAAATGGGATTTGCTTATCTACAAAATTTGGCAACAGTAATGAAATCACTTGGTAGAAATAATAAAATATTTTGACTGTTAGAAAAATAATTGCTCCTACTAACAAAAAACAAAGCCAAGCTTATGATAATGGATCCAATCATAGCACTCAGCCATCTGCGTGTAGTGATTTAACGTTTAAAAATTCTATACGATTATAAATAATTATTATTCCATTTTCATTTAAATTTGTCAATATTATTTCATTATTATTCAATGTCATTTAACAAATATTAAGCAACAAGCTTACTAGATTTTAAAATTGTTACGAACGCGTTAATATATCATTCAATTGTGTTATGTGTTAATAAATTAAAATTTCTTCAACAAATTTACCAAATAATTATTTTTAAAATGTTTGTTGGAACAAAATAAAATCATAAAAAGAACACTCCAAACCTGCCAATCTTATGGGCAAGAGGTCCAAACAGGTTAGTGCCGATAAGATATGAAACGGAGCAAGGAAGAAAAGCAATCCCCTGCTCCCATTTTGAGGATCCCATGACTTCAACCATGTGGATCGGGAGTGTTGGTTCCATCATTGCGATTCCCATACTACCGAAGCAAATTGACACTATGTGGATGGTTTGGTGTGTGTAAGTGTGTGTGTAAAATGAATGAGTTGATGAGGTGTGTCGTGCCCTAGAAATGAAGCAGCGAGATGTGATTAAACACTGGTGAATGTCGTTGCGTTCGAACTAGGTCTCTATAACTCTGAACCAGACGCCTCAACTGTCGCTTTATCTTGCCGTCCAAGCGTTATAACAGACTGCAAAATTTGCTTAGATAAAATTTTAACAGCAAAGGAAGAGATGGAAAATCTAACAGGGAGAAGAGATCGCGGTCAACATTCTGCCGTAAAACCATACCAGCAGCTAGCCAGCCAAACAACCAGCCATCCAATCAAACAATTAGCCAACCAATCAACTACCCAACCAACCATCCAATCAATCAACCATCCAGCCAGTCATCTATCCAACCATCCAATCAAGCAACCAACCAACCAGCAGCGATGAGTATGTATGGATCAGTCAGCAGCTCTTTCAAAGGACTCCCCTTCTCGTCCTCCTGCCTCATCTTTGGCTGCAGAGTCAACAGGACCATGGCTTGCAGTAGTAGTAGTAGTAGTGGTGGGGATGTTGGTAATAATTATGTTAAAAATTGAATAAAATTGAGTAAAAATATTTTTCTCTCTAAAAAAACTACCATCATTTACCTAAAATTGAGTATCTGGCTCTCTCGCCAGGAATCTGGTTCGCCAGCCGAAAACATTTGCTAGATTACATTTTCGTTCATGCATGCCCCCTCCATGGTTACCATCACTCGCATCATCATCATCATCATCGACACCAACATCATCATCGACATCAACATCATCGTCATCATCATCATCATCATCATCAACATCATCATCATCAACAGACTTCATCATCATTGTCACTACCTCCCGCGGCCAAAGCCAAAGCAGCCAAGATGATGAATGGGGTCTCCTTCCCACAAAACTCATACAAGACCCCACCGTACGTGGGTCCAACTGGTGATGATGGTGATGATGATGGTGATGATGAGGATGACGATGATGATGGCGATGATGATGATGATGATGATGATGGTGATGAGGAGGAGGAAGAGGAGGTGTGTGTGTATGTGTGTGTGTTTGTTGTGTGTAATGATGATGATGATGATAACGCTGATGACGAAGATGGTAATGTGATGAGATGCAATTAAATGAATAAAATTGTGGATGATTATGAAGGGGGATCGATTTATAAATATGGATTTCAATTTTGAAGAAATTTAAAGGATATCTTTTAAGAAAAATATTTTGTATTCTCCTTCAATTCTCTCTCTCTCTCTCTCTCTTCTCTCTATGCTTTTATATAAAGATTGTGCGTGTGTGTTTGTCCGCGAGTGCATGTGTGTAGCTGTGTGTGTGTGTGTGTGTGTGTGTGTGTGTGTGTGTGTGTGTGTGTGTGTGTGTGTGTGTGTGTGTGTGTGTGTGAGTGTATGTGTGTGCGTGTGTGTGGGTGTACGAAAGTAACGAATGCATTAATTTGTATAGCTTGAGGCGTTTCCACCAGCATAATCAACAATGCCACTAATATGACGTCATCTACGATGACGATGCTGATGATGATGATGGCTATGACGTTGATTATAATTACCATCCATCCATCCATCCATGCAAACGTCATTGCCATCCTCAGATATGAAGCCGTACATGAATGCAGAATAAAACGTTTCCGTTCCTCTAGGCATTTTATTCATACACACCCACACACACAACACACACACAAACACACAAACAAACACAAACAACACACACAAACAAACACACGCACACATATATACACACGCACACACAAACAAACACATACTCACACACACATCTTAACATATGTTTACATTCATGAATGTTGGTGTCAATGTTCATTACTTAATTCAGAGTTTTCGTAAAAGATGGGGAAGAGAGACAAACACGATACGAATTTTACCGATTTCGAACTTCAAAATCATTAGCGGCCTACCAAACAGAACAAACCTTCGAAAGAACCAAATCAAAATTTAAAATCAAACCGGATACCGAAACCAAAACCGGATACCGAAACCAAAACCGGATACCGAAACCAAACCAAACCTTTAGCGATATTCTCACATTTCCACTACCACTACCACCACTACTACTACTGCTACTACTACTACTACTACTATTACTACTGCTACTGCTACTACTTCTTCAAATGCTACTATCGTCGTCATCATCATCGTCGTCGTCATCATCATCATCAATCCAACGCGAAAACTTTAATATTATCTCTATTAGCTGCCATTACCAACAAGCGCTTGTCATGTTTGTGTGTGTGTGTGTGTGTGTGTGTGTGTGTGTGCGTGTGTGTGTGCGTGTGTTTTAGTTTCATCATAACAATTATTATTTTATTTGACCACTAACTATTATAGTTTTAAAATTGTTTTAAAATTTCCGTACAAAATTTATTCATATAAATGTATTTACATACCTATCTAAAATGACACACATATGTATTTGCACAAACACATACACAAACACACACACACACAAACACACACATACAAACACACAAACAAACAGGTGCAAACAAATGCACGCATACACCCAGGCACACACAACTTGACTTCACGCGTATGCCGCAAGTGTAGTGAATGGTAAGTGCTCTGTGTCGAAGCATTGAATGAATGAATGAATGAATGAATGAATGAATGAATGAATGAATGAATGAATGAATGAATGAATGAATGAATGAATGAATGAATGAATGAATGAATGAATGAATGAATGAATGAATGAATGAATGAATGAATGAATGAATGAATGAATGAATGAATAAATGAATGAATGAATGAATGAATGAACGAACGAACGAACGAACGAATGAAAGATCGAACGAACGAACGAACGAACGCATGAAAGATCGAACGAACGAACGAACGAACGAACGAACGAATGAATGAATGGCCGATGTTTTGATTGCATCTCCATGACGTAAGATGCGTCCATTCAATAAATTCATTTGGACAAGTGGTCGGTGGGAGAGAGAGATAGAGAGAAAGAGAAAGAAAGAGAGAGTTAAAGAAAGAGAAAGAGTGTGTGAGAGAGAGAGAGAGAGAGGAAGGTAACGGTAAAGGAATAAAAGTATTAATAAAAGTCAAGTGGTTGGAAAGTGCCGAAATTCGTACGAATGGTTGAAAGGTGTTGGGCATTCAAAATGAATTTTTATTGCTCCGTTTGATCTTATTTGAAAAAAAATGTTCATAAAACGTTTTAATACAATTTTTTTTTATTTCACAAATTTTTCATTTTCAAGCACCAACACAAACACACACACACAAACACACACACAAACAAGCACCGACACAGATACACACACACACACACAAATACCAACACAGATACACACATACACACAAACAAGCACTCACTAAGCACTCCAACAGCAAGACCTCCCAGTGCAATCGCAAGAGCATTCCCTCTCTCCCTATCATCCGTGTACAGGCTGGCTAGCATTCCCATTCCTGACGGGAGTGAAGTGAGAGTGAAGATGTTGAGATAATAAAGATGACATTGAGGATAATGAACATGTTAGTTAGAGATTTCAAACGCAAAGAAATGACTAACAATTGCGAATAGGATTTTTAAAAAATTTTGATTTATATTAATAATCGACATATAATAAATTCCACATTTATATCTCACGCACACATACACGCAATACGCGCACACACAACAAACGTTTAATACAAATTAAACAGATACACTGATATCATCCCAAATTATTGATACTATCATCCCAATCATCACACTCGTCTCAAGATAATCAGTAGCGTATCATCACCAAGACAAGGCAACACAACCAGACCTGAGACACTCGAGCATGACGAGCCAAGACCCTGAATGGCTCTGGCGATGAACAGCACCGAGTAGCTACTTCCAAACGCAAACGCTGTGGAAGAAATATCATAGCTCCAATATGACATTTTAAAACCGTTAAAACGTCTCTTTCATAATAAATTCTCGATAAAGTTTTATTTTCAAAATATGAAAGTTCAATAATGTCATTAATTTAATCAGTTATTTAACTCAATTAGTTAATTAATTAGGCAGTAAGTAAATAAGCAAGCAGTGAGTATAATTACATCGCCAAATACTACTAAATGAACTCCACTAACTTATAGTCGAAGCGAACATAATGATGAAACCGGCCAAGAGCGGTATGCTGTAACCGATTCTATTCGTAATCGGACCGATAATCGGATTCGCAATCAACTGGACCATCGCTTTCGAAGCGAATAGTACACCGACGGCAACGTTCTCGTCACCGATTTTTGACTGTGGCGTGGTTGTTGGTGGTGGTGATGATGAGGAGGAGGATGGCGGGAATGGTGACGTATGTGCTTTTAGTTTTCTTCTAATTTTTCTTTGTACTGGCCTCATTGATGATGATGAGGAGGAGAAGGAGGAGGGCAAATTTGATGATGATGATGATGACGACGATGACGTCATCGATAAGTTTAATGACGGCGCATTCTCAACAATGATGAGGTTTTTCTTATTTGAATTTAAAAAATTTCGGTCCATAGACCCGTGATCTTCGTTACCATTATTGTTTGAATTATCGTCGGCACCTTTATTATTATTATTGTTATTACTTTTATCATTATTATTATTATCACCAAAACTACCACCACCATCATCATCATTGTTATATTTTTTCCTCCCATGAACGTGATTGGTCGGAATGTATTTGAGGCTGAACGATTCAACATCCTCTGCCTTACCATCAACACCAAGCTTTTCAATATTATTTGCTGTAAAAGTTTCACCACCACCACCACTACTACTACTACTACTACTACTACAAGTGGCAGTAGTAGTAGTAGTAGTAGTAGTTGATGTGGTAGCAGCAGTAGTAGCAGAAAAAGCAACTAAAGTAATAGTAATATCATAATTACTTACATCAGAGTAAGTATGAGAAGTATTCATTTTTTTCAAATAGCCGTTCTTAAACTTACGAACTGGCGGTTTTTTATTATTATGATTATTATTATTATTATTATTACTATTAAAATCAACTAAACTTGCATCTAAATGAGATTGTGGTGATGATGATAATGATGATGATAATGATGATGACGATGATGATGATGGTGATGATACTGATGGTAGTGGTGATGTTAATGATAAATTTTTCTTCGCTAATTCCATTGCTTCGAGCTGGAACAAAAAGTTGGGAACTATTGGCACTGCAATGAAATTGATATCAGGGATTGTAAGATCGTAACAATAAATGGATAGAGAGACAAATGAACAAACAAACGAACAAACATACAAACCTACAAACGAACAAAAACAAGCAAACGAACGAACGAACGAGTGAATGAACAAGCGCCGGACAATCAAACAAATAAATAAGATTGAAAGAATGAGCAAATTAATTAATTAATTAAAAATCAAACAAATAAACTAATCAATTCATTAATTAGTAAACTAATTAACTAGCAAACCAACCGACAACAGTAAGCAGCATGTTATCAAGAAGGAGTGCGATGAACACGATGAAAAGTACCAGCTTTCTTGACGATCTGTACTCTCTCAACTTATCAATCATCTTTACGAAACAATTTCTACTACTCTGAGTATCTCCACCGTACGTATTAGCAGTAACGTTATTAGTACTATTTGCGTTAGTGTTTTTATTGTTAGCGCTGGTGTTGTTCATGTTGTTGATGTTGTTTTTGTTGTGACTGTTGATGTCGTTGGCTTGGTAGTTGTTGTTTGTAGCGCCAGAACCTGTAGGTAGTGTCATGTTTGCGATCGTTGTTTTGTTTCACTCTGACAAGGTTGTTGTTGATGTCATTAAGATGATGTTGATGAAGATGTTGATGTTATGAAGAGGATGCTTTTGATGATGCTGATCTCATGAAAATAATGTTGATGCCGTTGATGCTATGAAGATGTTGTTGGTGTTATGAAGATGTTGTTGATGTCATGATGATAATGTTGATGAAGATGCTGTTGTTGCTGCTGATGTTGATGAAGCTGCTGTTGCTGATGTTATGAAGATGATATTGATGACGTTGATGTTGTGGATCAGTTGCTGATGTTGTTGATGATGTCGTTGATGTCATGAAGATGATGTTGTCATCTGGTTGATGATGCGATGATGGCGATGTTGTTATACAAGAATGATGAATGAGAAGAAGAACAAAGACGACAAAACTAATGGTGATCGAATCTAAAAATTTCAATTTTCGAACACTTTTAATAGAAAATATTATCACTATTTTTGAGAAAAAATTATTGAAATTAATTTGTAATTTTACTAAAATTAATTTCAAACTTTCACCTTGCTTTTCATGAAATGATTTTCCAAATCTTTAAAATCTAACCTATTATACTAGCTATTTTTCTTCATCTTAACTTCAACCTATGAACTCAGATCTTTTCATTTTAACTTCAAAATCTCAAACAATAAATAAAATTTTTAAAATACTCTCACTTTAAAATTTACTAAACAAACTACTAACTTTTTGAACTTATCATTATTAATATTATACTTATTATTATTCAACCACACTTTATGCTATTAAAATCAGCAGTAGTAGTAGTAGTAGTAGTAGTAGTAGTAGTAGTAGTAGTAGTAGTAGTAGTAGTAGTAGTAGCAGCAGCAGCAGCATCAGAGTTGTCGTAGTAGTAGTAGTTTTAGTAACAGTAACAATAATGATAATATTTATCAAATGTAATGATAAAAAAAATGAAAATAAAACAAAAACCAATTGACAATAAACAAAGCCAAAACTAACTTTTTTTCTCAGCTCTCTCCCTCCCTCTTCTTCATTTCATTTTCAAACCTATGTGGGAATCAATTCAGCGACCCAGCGCGCGTATGTGTGTGTATGTTTGTTTGTGTATGTGTGTGTGTAATTGTGTGTGTGTGTGATATATATCTTTATATATATATATGTATATATATATATATATATATATTCATCAAAATTAATAATTTAATGATAAGGAAATGTTATCTGATCCAGATCAGGTACCTATGGTTTGGCAAAAATGTTCACGTAATGATAAAAATTAATAAAAATAAATTTGACGGATATAATCACATTTACCAAAAACCATTTGGATATATGTATATATATATTTATATATATATATATATATATATATATATATATATATATATATATATATATAAGCCATATACATAAATATGTCTGTCTATCAACTTTAAACAGCCTGACATATTGTTCAAAGAATGGTATATACCCAATATGGTATTTTAACATTTTACTAAGCTAATATGTACTTACATACATTTATAGTTAAAAATTTTAGTAAGTTTCAACTTCAAAATACTATCCATCCCTTATGCGACGTTCCAAACTAAACGAATCACTTACTTTTTATTCATGAAATCACAGCAGGCATTCGCACCGTCAATACTAAACTCAACAAAGAACATTCTAAATTTATTGATTTGAAGGCGAGCTAAATCAAGCGAACGATAACTTTACAATTTTATAACAGAAGCCTTTAACGTTTTAACAGGTAGGTGATGATCGAATAGATAGATAATGATAATAGATTTATAGAATAGATAGATAGATAGAATAGATATATAGAATAGATATATAGAATAGATAGATAAAATAGATATATAGAATAGATAAATAGAATAGATATATAGAATAGATAGATAAAATAGATATATAGAATAGATAAATAGAATAGATATATAGAATAGATAGATAGAATAGATATATAGAACAGATAGATAGAATAAATATATAGAAAAGATAAATAGAATAGATATATAGAATAGATAGATAAAATAGATATATAGAATAGATAAATAGAATAGATATATAGAATAGATAGATAAAATAGATATATAGAACAGATAGATAGAATAGATATATAGAATAGATAGATAGAATAAATATATAAAACAGATAGATAGAATTGAATGGATATATAGATATATAACCTTGTATATAATTTGTCTAAGCAGTTCAGCGTTTGGCATATATCTATCTATATATCTAATATATATATATATATATATATATATCATCATGTTCATCTTCATCACCATCACCATCATCATCGCTACCTCCATGTTTTACTCCACTTAGACAGTCAGCCGCGATTGTTCGTCTGCTGTGTTTGCCAAGCGGCGCTAAGTTATTTTTAGCACTAACCGGCCGGAAGTGACGGAAATGTTTAAACTTCCGGTGATGATGAGGATGACGACGACGGTGATGATGATGGTGGTAATTCACTTTGATTTGTTGATTGCAAGTGAAGTTACTGTTAAATTGTTCAATAAATCAGCAGACACTTTAGTTAGGGGTTTGTCTTATTTTATTTAAATTTTATTTTATATTTAAGTGTATGAAAAGCAATGAATATCAAGGTAGATACTATTTTCAGCATATAATCTACTACAACGGGCAAAAATCAATGTGCCGTTAATAACTTTGAAGTTTTTTAAATTAATAAAGAGATAATTAATGGTAATAATTTTCATAATAAAGAACCAAATAATAATTTTTAACATTGTCAATTTATTTTATTAGTTTTTAGATTTAATTTACAGTTGTTTCGGTGTTTAAGTAATTTTCTTTCCTTTATCACAATTTTCTCCATCCTCATTTTCGAATCTTTCGTAAGAACCATTCCTACATGTGGCCACCTTTGAAGGTGACGGTGGTTTGCTGGTTGCCGCTGAGTTTGTACCGTCTACCAAATTCTGAACAAATCATATAGACATGTGTGTGTGCGTTTGTGTGTAATATGAGTGTGTGTATTTGCCTGTGTGTGTGTTTGTTTGCTTGTCTCTCTCTTTCTCTTCTCTCTCTCCTCTCTCTCTTTCTCTTTCTCTCTCTCTCTCTCTCTCTCTGTGTGTGTGTGTGTGTGTCTTAGTCTGAGTTTGTTTGTGTGTTTGTAAGTAAACATCGTGGTCACATTCATTATTTATTCATCAGTTTATTCTTTTATTCGTACATTCACTCATTTATTAACTCATCCACTCACTTGCTGTTCTTCTTTAGTCGGGGGCTGTCTGAGGAGGAAATGGACAGGTGAGTATAAGATGTTGATGACCGCCATCGTCCAGATTAGACTGTCGGTGATGACGAAGACGACGACGATGATGAAGATGATGACGACGATGATGAAGGTGATGATGAGTATGGCAGTGATACTGATGATATAATATCATTATGATACAAATATATATCCTATCGTCACCATCATCTTACCCCTTAAATCCCACCAATGATGATGCAGATGATGATAAGTATGGTATTGATACTGATGATATAATATCAGTAATGATACAAATATATCCTATCATCACCATCATCTTACCCCTTAAATCCAAGGAGCATTATTATCGGCCCGCTGATGGCAGGTCCTGTTCGGTTGCAAGTTATTCATTCATTTATCATTTCCTTTGATTCATTTGTCGTTTGTTTTAATTAATTAATTAATTCATTAATTCATTCATTCTTTCATTCATTCATTCATTACTCCTCTTCATTCATTCATCATTGACTTTCATTCACCCATCATTTTTATTTCTTATTTCAATTTGTATACGTCTTTATGTGGAGTTTCAAAATCTCTTGGGTTCAATTGTTTACAAAAAAATAAACTACATCACCACACACGCACATGATAGGCGAAGCTCTGTTGGCATTCAAACCCGAGAAGATCAAACCATTGGCCAGCAACTCACATGTTAACATAAAAAAAGTCGTCAAACCGATTGCAAATCCCAAGCAGTAAGCAACTTCAGCAATGGCATAGACACTTCCATATATGGGCACGTGACGTATGTCAACCAGATGAGCCATGATTGGCCACACTGATGAATCAACCATTCCTGTAAAAGTAGCGTGTGTGTGTGTTTGTGTGTGTGCGCGCGTGTGTGTGTGTGTGTGCGTGTGTATGTTGACATATTTGTGTTCTGTATACGTATATATGTTGTTATATGTCGTTTAAAACCAGTTTTGGGTTTAAATCTGTGCGATCACTGAGTTTTTTTGAGATTGCTTTATTCCTAAAAACTTCCATCCGAATCATTTGAAAGGTTGCATGGTGTTAGTGTAACATAATCATGTGGCCAACTGTAGATTATTTTTTTGTTGGCTTATCATTTAAAAATTTGTGGATATAAAGATATATAGATGGATATATTTCAGATTTCACTGGCTGATTAATGCCAGTAGTCTAAATAGAACACCAAATAAAAGATGCGTCTCAGATCTAACTAACAAAGTGTTTCTTTTGTAAATATGAAGGTCTCAACGGATCTATATCTATAACGGATGCTAACGGATATATATCTCTAACGCATACTGACGGATATATATCTATAACGGATACTGACGGATATATATCTATAACGGATACTGACGGATATATATTTATAACGGATACTATCAAACAAACTTGCGAAACTTACCAATGGAAAATCCCAGGACAGCGTTTGGAACGATCAAATGTCCAATGTGGGTTCCTATGGGAATCTTTTGAGAATTACAATCAGAGGTTTACTACTACTACTACTACTACTACTACTACTACTACTACTACTACTACTACTACTACTACTACTACTACAGTACACCTACTACAGCTGCTATCTCGTCATTATAAATTTAAGGTACTGTAAAATTAAGAGATCCATTAAAGCCATTCCTCTCGAATAAATCCAAATTAGAAAATTCAACGATTATTTAAAACGATTACTAACAAATAAAATCACCAATAATCACCATTACAAACAAACTAACAAGAAATAGAGATGTTCCAATGATGGCAGAGCCGGCCATTGCACAAAGCCATCTGTAGTTTAAAACATTATATTAATGGTTAACTATTTTAAATCTTTTAATATCTTCCTCATTTTGCTAGTTATTACATTTTTTAGAATTAAATTTGAAATTATTTTTTTGTTAAATCTAGCATTTGTATTTGAATTATTAAAAATTGATTTACAAATGTTACTAATTAAATTATAGGAAGTCATTAAGTACCTGCATACCTTTAAAGTTTGGAAAAATCCACACATTTTGTAACGATAATGCTTACTTACAATAGTCAGATTAAAATTATTTTAACCGGTTTTCATGAAAATTAATTATTACAACTATATATGAATGATATTTTGCAAAAATTTTATAGAATTTACATTATTTTACACATTTTATTTTCAAAATCTATAAAAATTCCAAAAATAATTGAAAAATATGATATTAAATAAAATAATTCTTCCGAAACCTGCCAAACTTGTGACCCAACGGGCCAAAGAGGTAAGCCCCGATGAGGTAGGAGACACTGGTGGGGAGGAAGGCGATCCCTTGCTCCCATTTGGACGATCCCATGACTTCCACCATGTGAATCGGTAGGGCCGTCTCAAGAAATGCTATGCCAATGTTTGCGAAACAGATGGACACTGATGTGGTGTTGATTTTGATGATACTCGGATGATATATGATAGGAGTGTGATATCATATGAGTAAAAAGACATGATGGATTATTTAGTTATGTGGAATATTTAGTTATGTGTGTTGTGATATGATGTTATGTGATATGATGTGATGTAATGTATGTGACGTGAGGGGATAGCATCATCATTAATATTTTTAAAATTGTCATCCTGACGTCATTATCACCAGTTTTCATCGTCAAACTCATCATTCACGGATATTTAAACTATTTAATTAATAAGCAGCCCATCCCTGTTTCGGTATTATGACATCATCATTTATGGTCTCCTCATTACCATATTTTCATCATCACCACACCTTCGTTCATCTAACCAGCTGTGATGAGTATGTATGGATCGGAAAGTAGCTCAATCAGTGAACTGCCCTTCACGTCTTCAGCTTTCAAAGTTGGTTTCATTGCAAGTACAACCAAACCTTGGTGGTGATGAAGATGATGTCGGTAAAGATGATGATGCTGGTAATGATGATTATGGTGATGATAGTGATGATGATGGTAATGGAGCAGTTGAGTGATGATCAAATGATACAATTACGTGAATGAAAATAATCAACATCGTCATCGTCATCAATAACATCATCATCATCATCGTCGTCGTCATCATCATTATCATCAATAACATCATCATCTTCATCATCATCATCATCAATAACATCATCATTATCATCAATAACATCATCATCTTCATCATCATCATCATCAATAACATCATCATTATCATCAATAACATCATCATCATCATCATCGTCGTCGTCATCATCATCTTCATCATCTTCATCATCATCTTCATCATCTTCATCATCTTCATCATCATCATCACGGCCACCTACCTGCTGATGCGAGAGTCAAAGCTGCCAGTATGATGAACGGAGCTTCCTTGCCACAGAACTCGTACATCACCCCACCATACACGGGTCCGACTGTGGTCATAATTATAATTATTATTGTTATTATTATTTATTTATTATTATTGTTGTTGTTGTTTTTGTAGTAGTTGTGTTGTTGTTGTGGTTGTTGTTGTGATTGTTGTTGTTTTTGTGGTTGTTGTTGTTGTGGTTGTTGTTATTTTTGTGGTTGTTGTTGTTTTTGTTGTTGTTGCTGTTGTTTTTGTTATTGTTACCATCAAACCCTACATCATATAATCTCACTTATACTGAGCTTGGCAAAGCAACAGCTCTTAATCGTGTTTTTTATTCTAATCCTAAATTACATTCCTTAAGTATTTTTAAATCTTACTCCTTCAATAATTTCCATTACATTTTATGGTGGTGTATAGAAAAAAGTTTCTTTCTTTCTCTCTTTCACACTTTCTTTCTTTTCCCCCCTCTCCCTCTCTCTCTCTCTCTCTCTCTCTCTCTCTCTCTCTCTCTTTCTTCCTTTCTAAAGTAAATTCAGTTAAATTAGCCATTTATGTTATAATGAAACTTTAATATATAACAACAGCATGTAATATAACCATTACATTTCATAGTGGTGTAAAAAAAAAATTTTCAAATTTACCAAGTGCCCCGACAGCTAGGCCCCCTAGAGCAATAGAAATGGCATTCCCTCTCTCTCTATCGTCTGTGTAGATGGTGGCTAAAAGGCCTGCCCCTAGGTTTTATTTTGATGATGGTGATGATGATGATGGTGATGATGATGAGGATGAGTATGATGATGATGGTGATGATGGTGATGATGATGAGTAGGATGATGAGTATGATGATGTTGCTATTAGCTAATCGCTACAAATTTTTTATTTCTATATTATACAACCAGAATCACTGTTATTACCATCGTCATCATCATCGCTATCATTATCAACATACTCATCGTCGTCATCT